ACTAATGAAATCCACAAAATTACAAGTTTATAATCCAATAATACTAATACTATCTCAACTTGCATTTGCCAGATTCTTTCTCTAGACAATTACATTCTCTATCCACATGTGCCTCTCACAAATTTTTGAAAAATATAAAATTAATTTTTTTTAAAAAAAATCAGATTTTCTATCTATAAATAGCCACTCATTTCATAATCTCAAATACCAAACAAACAACATTTTCTCACTACTAATTAGCCACATTCAATTGTTGAGAGTGCTAACTTCTTAACTTTGAAAAAATGGTTAAGTTTGGTGCATACTCAATTGCCCTTGTTCTCACATTGAACATTCTTTTTTTCACTATGGTTAGTTCCACTAATGTCCCATGCCCACCACCCCCACACCCCAAACCCCACTACCCTACCCCTACCCCCTCCACCCCATCATCAAAGGGTAAGTGCCCAAAGGACACACTAAAACTAAATGCTTGTGCCAATTTATTGGGTGATTTATTGCACCTTGTTGTTGGAAGTAGTCCAGCCAAGACTCAGTGTTGCTCTTTAATTGAAGGACTTGTTGATCTTGATGCTGCTGTTTGCCTTTGCACTGCCCTTAAAGCCAATGTGTTGGGAATTAATCTAAATATCCCACTTTCACTTAGCTTGTTGCTTAACAATTGTGGCAAATATGCACCCAAGAACTTCCAATGCAAATAAGCCAAATTTTCAATTCATATAGTTCAATTTCTTTCAGTGTATTATTTGATGTTTTGTGGGCTTATTTTCAAAAGGAAGTATACTTCCTTATTGTATTCTAGTTTGTTTACAAGGGAGGCTATAGTTATTGCCTTCTTTTCATGAAATAAATGTCTATCTTTTAAAGTTTATGTTAAAATGTTTGATGTTATAAATATTGATGGGCTTAACTTTCTTCTTTTTATGTATGTTACTGTTCTATTGTAGTACTATACTAGGATCAAAAATTTGAATCTTCGTATGATAATACTTTCTCCGTTTCAATTTGTTTGTTTGACCTTTTACTTGACTATATTGGTTAATGCATTTTAAAATGACTTAACCACATAAAAATGTATTGAATCAAAAAAAATTTAATGAATATATCCTAACCTAATTTTGAAGTTAAATTAAATCGGATTGAGATCAACTCAATATTTTAAAAATGAAAACTTTAAATAAAAATATTTAAAAAATCAATTTTTTTATTAATGTGATGAAAAAAGTTTATACTGTATTGTTAGTTTAAATATATATATAATATTTGTTTTGTTTTGATTGTTTTTAATTTTTATCGTATCATATCATAAAATTCCTTGTTACATAAGGATGAAAAGTCTTATGTAACAACCGATGATTGCATCGTTACCTTATTTCTTCTTCTTTTTTAAAATAATAATCCTATTTAATTCTTTCACTGTACTTTTTTATATTAGCTCTACCAAATACCTTACTTTTCTTATAAGTTTGTCCTTCAAAATTGCTCGTGTATGATGTTATGTAGCGATGAAAAACGATACAATATATCCAAAGATTGTATTCATCAAGTTAATATAATACAATATAATACGATATGTGAAAACCATCCCAACAAAGTGAGAGTTAAAAATAAAGAAGGGAAACAAGAGGGGGAATCTAACCCTTATCAACAAGGTGAAAATTTCAGTAGCCGCTAAAATTCTCCAAAAGTTCTCCAAAAGTTCATACCGGGATGAATGCTACATGTTTTTTATCTCTCAAATATGATTTTCTAGCGGTAGTTTGTTATTTGGTCTTAGTTGTAGTGGCTGATATCTGATATACTAGAATTGGCATATTAAATTTCGGACATAGATTGAGAGGTACTTGTGCATTTTCCTTACATATAACTTTAATCGTTCAAAATTTTGAAGTTTGTATTGGAAATTCATAAATGGTGACCCATTGTGTCAAAATCCTACATACGCCTAAATTAAATCAATATACATATTCAATTGTCTTATAGTGATTGTATTTTGTTTTCGAGAAGGCAGAAACAAATTATTCTATAATAGTATTAATCTCTCTCTCAAAAATTGCTTAGGTGAACTATGTATTGTTTATTAATTAACGATGCATAAATTCTCCCTATATAAATTAAGTGCATTTATAAACAACCCTACTTATATATCTCAACACAAAAATTATAAATAAATAAATCTCCACGGACAAAATTATCACAGTAGCCATTTTCTATACTATTTAATAATACTAATACTAATACTACTAATAATAATGTACTCTATTGTAAGTTTATATTTTCTAGGATCGAGTTGTTCATATTCTGTATGTCGTTACTACAGTTCTACAGTCTATTTTAATTTTGCACCAAAACTTACTTATAGTGTGTTGATTAGACGCAATTCGCTGACATGACAATTTTTGACACATATCATGGAATGCGTAGTAATTGAGCTCGTGATATTACTCTTTTGATGAACTACACCAACTATTTTTTACCGGAAAATATAAGATTTTGCCTGAATGGTAAAGAGAATCACAAGTTCCTACCCCATTAGCAATTTTGGGCCTCTATAGTATTGTATCTTGAATTGAGCCTACATAAATTATCCACACCACATCCAATATTTATTTGGCCCATATTCTCAACCATTCACACTAGTAGAATTTTATAGGAAACTTATAGTAATTTCACTAGTTTACAAGTTTATTACTTAGATGTATACTTTTCTTTACAATATTACAAATCTTATCAGATATTGGTGCGTCTAGCTATGTCTAGATACATGTACCTTGAAGTATATGGGGCAAATTAGGTGTAGTTTATTTTAGATACATTGTATTCAAGTGGATTTGCATGTATTTGGGATACATAGACGAATCTCATTAGCCTCCCTCACCTCTCTCCCATCTCGCTCACCACTCTTTTATGTATCTGATATTGAAGATACATATGAATCACATTGATATACGTATATGTATGATTTTGGCATGATTCAAATGTATTTGGGATCCCTTCTAGCTTGCCTTTCTCTCCCTATTTTAGTGTGTACTTGATAGCAAAAATACGTGTATCTAGGTGTATCTTTCTAAATACGGTAGGAAACTTTAATTAATGACAAAACACGTAATATTTTGAAAATATAGGTGATAAAAGTATATATGGTCGTGGAGCATGTCTAATTATGTAATTTTCCTTCTTTGTTTCCCCAAAATGCCTCACCACTGTTACATTGACTTCTGGGCCCACAATAGGCCCAATATAAGGGAATCTTTGGGCCCATACTCATCAGGCTTCTCGTGGCCAGTTGGGCTTCACGTGCTCACTGACCCGCAAATCACACATTTGATAAAGAATCCAAAAATCTTTAATTTTTGCACAAATCATCCTCGAATGCATTGATCTTTAATTTTTTATCTGGCAATGCGGCGGGATGGATGCGAAGCGGGGTGGGTTTGTGGTTACGTGGGGTGGAGCAGGTTTTAGATTGTGCGGGGTGAAAAAGATGTTGGTGCAGCAGGCGAGAGCGGTTTGTGATTATATGTGATTGCAAATTTAATCTTAACTTTTTACATATTATTGAGAGCATTTTTTACTAAAATAATTACTTAAAACTATTAAAATATTAATGATAGTAAATGAAAATTGTTCAATAAAATATTACAATTTCTTAAATGTTTCTTAATTACCTCTAAAAATTAAATTTTAAGTCAATCTATTAAGTTGTTACTATATTATTTATAGTTAAGTTATTATAAACTCAGTTATTATTATATTATTTACGTTAAATTAAAAATAATTACAAAATTTATAAACTTCAAATCTAAAATCCATACGTCTGATACTTTTATTCCTTCACCCAAACAACCCCAAACGTGATATTTTTTTCACCAACACTATTCATGCATGCATTCCAACAAAAACCAAATACGTAAAAGATTATAAATAGGAAAAAATAATTGCAGTCCTGTCCACTCATGATATATTTTGGTCTACGGCAGGTAATAGAAAATGATTTTTTTTTAAAAAATTGTCTCACTAGATATAATAATTAATTAAAGAGAAAAACAAATTTACAATTGGCCGGAGATTGCGGCGGGACTTATATTATTATACTAAAAAATAATTACTTCTATTATTTTTTTATGAGAAAATTTTATTTTAATAAGTAAAAGATCTTAACTCTGCTGTGAAAATCTTCATTATTAACTACTCCTCTTGTACTATTAGTTTGTCATGTCATATTATTGTAATTAATTACGACAAAAATATTGTTACAGTGAAAAATATTGTTACAAACCATTCATTCGTTAATAGATCTTTGATTTTAAAATGAGTTTGGTATCGATCTATATAAATATTACATAAATTTTCTCATAATTTATGTGTGTCAGTTATTTGAATTTTCAAATGAAAACTAAATATTTACTTGCATTATTCTAACAAACTATCGAACATGATGTTACTGTTACTCGAAAAACTTATTTTCGAACCAGCTATCAGACAATCGCTTAGCGGTTGTGTTTGTATAGAGCAATACAATTCAAGTCTAATCAAACTTTCCACCTATCACCCTAGACAAAAAATCCAAATAAAGATTAAGGTCGATTTCCCTTTTATGACTTTGTACAAGAACATTGACCCTAGGGCTACAAAAGTAGTTGAGCAGGACCATTGCTATGGCACTGCTAAATCATTATACATCACGCCCTCTAGATTCAAACATCTTTTTCCGGTCTAGTCTAGTGATCAATTAAATAAATCGTGGATATCGTGAAGTCTCAGCTTCAAATTCCACCAAAATGGTAAATATGAGATGATTTTTTTTTCTACGATTCAAATCTTAAAAATAGAGTTATGTCATACTTATGCGGGTGGGGGACATGGTTATTGATACCTATGCTGGTGGGGGACAAGGTTATTGATACCTATAGTGATAAGAGAAAATTAATCATTATTCGACAAATTTACTTGAACACAACGAAAATATAGATGACACTCTTAGGAAGTGAGAAAAAGTATACAAGCAAGAAGATTATTTATTATTACATTTACATATAGAGAACAACAAACTAAGCTGCACTGTCTTCATTGCAGCTATAAAATTGATAACTTTTTCACACAAACCTTGCTCCAACAGTAAATATATATAATTTTACCACTTAGACACAAAGCCCCAATTTCATGCTTGTGAAAATTCCCAAAAAAAAGTAACCTTTACACATCAAAACTTGTAACCTCATCGACTAATTCAAATTCACGCTCCTTGCCTCAGTCACATTAAGGACTTGGCCGGTGTCGATCCGCAAATCGATTAACCAAAGCAAGTGCATTACTAGTAACTTGTGCAACATGAAGTATTCTTAATCTTAAAGCAGCTTTCACATTTACATTCACACCAGGCCCTGAAAATCCATCAAGACAAGTGCTTTCATCAGTAAGTGCAGCACTTACCCAAGTCTGTACATTACTAACATGCCACATGAAATCCTGTCCGCTTGAAAATTGACCAGTATGTCCAAGTTCCGGAATTGATTTGTTTATCTGATCGACACTATCACTCATAGTATCCATACAGTCCTTGACTGCTTGTTTTTCTATTGGTTTTAGACCTCTCATTCTATTTAACTTCGATACGAATATGATAGTGGATTTTGCTTTGCTTAAACTAACTGATAAAGCAGCATGAGCTAGTTGCTTCTCGCTCTGTTTAACTGTGTTGGCGAAAGCAGAGAGGCATTGGACACATAAAACAGGGTAAAGTGTGGCTTTACATGAAACTTTGATGAATTTAATGGCAGCTGGATTTGAGGCCATGGCTGATTTAGCCATGGTGTTGTGAACAAGAAAACATTGGAGAGATAAGAGTACTATTAGCAAGTGAAGGTTATGGTTCCCCATTGTTATTTTTCTTCTCTTTCTTTTAGTGTGGTGTACTAGAGTATGGTGAAGCTTTATATAGAGTTTAAAAAGGGTCCCTAGTTATTTTCTTTTAAAACACTCCATCTGTTGCAATTTACGTGGCACAACTGAAATTTCAAATCTACGCGGCTTAAACCATCCGAATATGATCTAATCCATCCATTTGCACCCCAGAGGCGGACTCACCCCTCAAGGTGGAGGTGTACGTGCATCTGTTAACTTCGAAAAAAATCATGTATCTATCTTGAGAAACTGATAGAAATAGGATATAACTAAAAGTGCACTATACAAAAGTATAAGATTGTCATTGTGTTGTTGATACAATCTAGAGGATCCACCCGTGAGACTTGAGTTTGAATCCACCTAGAATATTATTTGAGCTAAGATAATATTAATGCATCCAAATTCTTGGATTCGCCGATGCAGCCCTATACTTGGCTAATATAATTATAAAAGTTAGCAGTAATATTCTAAAGTAAAACAAATGAAAATATCTTCCTCCTTTTGGGTATAGTCTACAAGTTTTCACATGCCCCTTTCCCTTTTGCTTTTGCTTCTTCTTTCAATGCAACATTTTAATCTTTCCACCTTATATTTCTCACAAATATCTGCATTATATACTCTTTTTCTGTGCTAACTTGTAATGTTGTCTATGTTTATGAAATCTTGTTGCTTTTTTTACTTTTTTATTTTTGGTGAGCAGGGTGTGATCTAATGATCACGGGTTCAAATTGTGAAAACAATTACTAATATTTGTATTAGAGTAGACTATTTACATCACACTCGAATCCTGGATGAATGTAAGATCCTCTAGGGTAGGCTGTCTATAGTAGCCTCCGGCTTAAGGTGCAACATTTTTCCAAATATTATGTTCGGATACTACGTGCACTGAACTGACTTTTTATATTTAATTTTTTATTTTTGATTGCCACAAGCTTATCTCAACTTAGATAGACATGACCAAACTTTGAAGGTAACGTGGTAGATGTCTAAGCACACCAACTTGTGCCTTTTTCCTTGGCATAAAGAAACTTGAGAATCAAGAGTACTTAAGATTAGTATTACAGCACAGGAGGATAAGTATTAGAGTCCATTAAATTAATCAAATTACGAAACTAATCTTTTATTAGGCAATTAATACAAGAGACTTGAAAGAGAATCTTTGACCAACATGTGACTAGAAAAACATAGTGTAGCAAAAACACAACTGATTACTTCCTGGATGATTCTTAAATTGATAACAAAAACAAAAGACAAAATTGAATACATTTTTTTTTGTGAGTTTGGTCAGTGCCTCGTGTCTCAAAATGTAACAATTGTTGAAAACAATAGTGAATCTGTTTCTTTTTTATCTACACGGAAGTCCGATTCAATTTGAATTCGCGGCTACAACCCTTGTTGGTAGTTAATTGTTATACATGTGGAAGGTCACCAACTAACCATTATTTTATGGTTGTACAGGCAATAATATGCAAGAAGGAATCCGTACATATTTAGCTAGAGGGGTCTGGTAATAGACTCATATATTAAGTGCTGCCAGCAAGCTATGATGATATAAATACAATTAATACAAGAAGCACATGATGGGATAAATTTTTATCATAATAGGCACATAATGAGCATCCACAAACCACTCAGAGGTGTGGTGAAATGAATGAGATTTCTGTGTCCATAATTACAAGTTTTAGGTTTGAGTCATGAGAACGAAAAAGTGTTCTCCCTTTATGAGCCTTCCGCGACATGAATTTTAACTAGCCAAGCCAATGGGTTTCAGATGCTGAAAGGGTATACAAAGAAAACAAAAGAAGTATCCAAAGTGCATATTTCCTATGTTGCTCAGACTCTCCAAATTTATTGCCGCACCTTGTCGGATCCTCCAAAAATGCACTACTTTTGAGGATCCGAATTTCGACATACATCCATCGAGTCTTTTAAAAGTCAGAATAACATAGCCTATATTAAATGTTCACTTTACAGCAAGACCTAAGACTTGCTTATAAATAACTGAAAACCATAACATATATAGCAGACATTGTTATGGTTGGCTGTCAACATAGATCCGGCTTTGGGAACATCACTAACTCAGTATGCCTTGGTGATAGTTGGAAGAAAAGGACAAAAGTCTAGAAATCAGCCCCATCAGTCTTTCACTGAGTTCTCACTCCTCTCAATAAAATTTCCCTCTATTTCACAGTTTAGAATCCAGTAAACATACCACTTTCACTCATTTTACATCAGAAATTGCAGTCTTAAGGGAGTTAAAAGATTTTTTATAGTGCCTTCACAACTTTTAATGGGTACATATTACATTTCAACATCTAAAAGTTGTAGTATAAAGGAGATTAATTTCTAGTAGTCTCATGCACAAAGCATCTCATATTCATACAGGATCTAAGGAAGGACTGTCCCCAGAGGCATTCAATACACAATGTAATTGTCACTTTCAGTAAAAATAGGATTTCACACTTTCCAACAGACAAGGAAGAAAGAACATGGATTTTCAGTTACATGGTGTACTCATTCTTTTCACAAATGATGGGATACTTTCTTATTGTTATTAAAGGGATCCATTCTAAGTTCATATTCCTACAAAATTTTGTAATATACTACAATATTAGTAAAATATAAATAACCAGAAATTCTCACCATTTCTCTGTATAAACATGAGACAAGCATTTGATAGCCTTGAGATGGAATCTATACTGTTAGGTACTTCAGAACAAGTCCTCTCAGCTTTTCCATGTATTCTGCTGCTTGTTTCTGCGTTACCAAAAGAAGATCAGTTCAAATTCAAGACAGTAGTATAGTTAAAGCTTCTAAGCAAAGTGATCATTATTTTTCACTAAAAAATTATGCACCCATAAATTACAATAATGGTGTTGACATGTAGCCATTGTCAAGCTTTTACACATCCATCGGAAAGGAACACATATGATTAGAGATATTTTAAAGTGTATCCAAGTAAATGTCAAACTCTAACCAGAGATTAACAAGCCTGGACATCTAGAGAAGTTACTACAAAATCCTATTTTATCATCTATCAGGTTTATGAAGAACATTCACAGAGTATCTGAAAAAAATATTAGACAGGCATTGTGGACACTCAACGCGTGTGCATATTATAGCATCTCTGAACAGTTCATCTTACATCTACTTGCTCATCTTTTCAGTTCTTAACGCTACTAGTAATCATTTTCATGTTTTTATGCATTAGATGAACTCCATGAGCTAAAATCCGTTGTGGCTTTATTTATCCAGAAAATAACTTTCACGAGAGTAATCGGCTTATGCAGTTCAATTATTTGATTGAATTCATCGTCCCAAAGAATAATTTCTTCCTTAAGCAATGCTCAATCCACTTGAACAATAATTGACCATACTCAACTAGTGCATAAGAAGACTCAAACAAAAGCATAAAGGTACTTATCACGTTCAATTTAAATTATGGATGTTTCTTTTTCTCTTATAAGCGACGAAGAGAAGATTCAAAAAGAAAAATAGCCAAACGTGAAGATAACAGAACTAGTTAAGTTTGAACTTGAATGTCCATTTTCATAAGAGTTATGTGGAGTGCAATTGGAAAATTCAGAAATAATTTTCTGCTCTTTGTACATCTATGTAATTTGTAAATGAAAGATATTTTGCCAGATATATTCCCAAAAGATGTGGTGGAGAAACTATCAGACCCCAGAAAAGAGTTGAGTGAAGGAAAACCGTTCAACTTTATCATAATTAGTCTAAACAATGATAAACTAACAAAGAAATGATAGGAAATTCTACATGTAACTCAGAGATTCCGGTGTCTCCTTTTACGGAACAAAGATTGACAATTGATTGGCTATAAACTTCACTACAAAGATTGTAAGACTGCTCAGGAATGTCGTAAGCTGATACTGGCAATTCACTTGCCACTACATGATATGAGGAACATTTAATAGATGCTGCCTCACAATTTCTACCCCAACCAATTCTTTTTCTTTTTTTGATGACCATGGTATCCGGGCCAGCTTTCGGCCCACCTTGACTAATTCTATGAGATACATGACAACAACAATAGGTACCTGTAACTGTCCACCAAGACTAAGACAAATTGGAAGAAATTTTTATCTCTACAGAAATTTGAACATGAGACCTCATAGTTCTCAACCTACTCTATTGACCAATAGGCCACACCGTTGGTGCCTATCCAACCAATTCTCAACCCAGAAAAGTACCTTATCAAGAAAAAAAAAGTAGATTTTCAACCCAGACAAGGTGTGCTTTCAGTATATGATTTTATGTTGTTCATTATATTACTATTAGGATAAAACCAGCTTAACCTTGAAAGACACTGAAAATTTAGAAAATTGTGTGAATTCTTATGTCAGTTACTGATGCTCAGTTCGAAAAGTTACTTCTTTTTCCTTTTCGAATCACACTTTTCGACTGAAGTTACAGTTAATTTATGTGACGTTTGCACCGATATCTTCAAAAATATGCATCATCACTCCCACAGAACTTCTATCTACATTGTGTGGAATTTGCTTGTCTCACCTGGTTAACACTATGTGCAGTTGCAATGTTTTCATCAAGAAGCGTCAACAAGGGTCTATTCAGCGCATTCCTCTCAACCAAATCCAAAAGCTGCTCGAGAAAACGGAACAACCCAAGTCAGCAACAAGGCTAAGAGAATATACAAACCACACCCACATATAAAAGAAGCAGCAGAATTTAGAAACTATCACATACAGTAGCCTTGACATCCTTTGAAGTCAAAATCTCAGTTAGGTTCTTCTTTGTTGCTACAAGATCTGCTTGTAATTTATCATAGGCTTCTGCAGGAAAAAGAAAAATCATACAGCAGGATGTCAGAATTGCTCTACAAGATAACTTATAATTGAGACTTCATCCTCAAGACCTCAACTGCATGTGAGACCGTGGAACGTGGCCTATGTTGCGTATCTCAATAAAACCCATCCCGCCCCCTTCTAACCCATGTTATGTGATGCAGGATACACACTCAGAAATGGCCAATTCACATGGTATGCTGACTACAACTGCAGCTGAGTCTACTGTTGAGAAGCATAGGTTACCTAGATTCTCTTATTTTTGTATAAGGATAAGAAAACTTTGTTAATGTGCGATATATGTGATATTACTAAAATATATATGCATATTATTCTATGCACTTGTTAGTCGTGTCTCCACAACCACATATGTACTCCTATGTTTCTCCAAAACTTAAGAATTAGATGATGCAGAATTCGACTTCTAGATCTTCTCATATACCCATACTCATTTCCATGTAAGAGTCTGGAAATATCTAATCAAAGAGCAATCTAAAAAATCAATTTATCAGACCTGTTGCTTCTTGCAGGGCCTTTTGCAGTGCTTCCAGTTCAAATAATCTGTCTTCCACAGCCTGTGAAAATATCATGGTCGGTATCATTTCATTAACATATCTGTCTCACACTAAATCAACCAAATTTTCAGTAAGAACCTGAGTTTTGTTTACAGAAAAACGCAGCTTTCCAAGTTCGACTTGCAGATGGTCAAAGAATTCTTTGTTCAATCTGCAAACTAAGATATGTTAGAAGTTTTCAGGTACAGAAGATAAAAACTATAGTAGGGACAGACAAGAAACCCATGCAATTTGATGTTATAAAAGTCTTGTCCCAGTTCCTCTAGAAAATGTTTGCAAACTTCAAATTGGGTGAGGTACCAATACTTTCTCAAATTTTGATAACAACATAAATGTCAAGAAAATGGCCATTAATAAAGAAATACTCATATCTTGTTAAGAGGCAAAAATTTGATCTTTATATGAAGTCTATATTTTTATAGCTTTTTGCTTTTCTGCACAAGTTTACAAAATACGGACTCGAAATACATGTGCATGATCACAGAATGATCAAAAGCAAAAGGTCGCAACTTTAAATGCTCGACTGTTTAATAACCTATCAGAGCTGAATCTGAACTAATGCCGCGAAGATTCAAACAACTTATAGCATTTTCTGGCTTTGAAGCCAGAACAGTAAATTTTGGCCACCTGAGCTGTGACATTGGAGAGTAGATAACTCACCGTGGTCTCATTCTTGCAATCTCAAATTCAATCTCTTGAGCTTCAGTGTCAAGAAAAAACTCCACAAGCCCTTCCACTGTATCCGGAATCACTCGTGACTATGATCAGGACCGAAAAGAACATATAAGAGAAAGATATGCATTACATTTGCATCCATAACAAAATTAAAGAGTACAAAGATGTCTTATTGACTACTCCACAAATTGTAGAAGACCTAATATATACCCTCTCCATTGCAATTTGTTTATTTGATTTTGACTTGGCACGGCATACAAAAGACTTTGATTCTTGTACTCTTAACTAAAGATGCGTAAATGTATTAAATTGTTCATTAATCTTTCAGTCTTAACCATGTTATCTGGAAAGCTATAATTAAAGTTGTCAAAAAGAAAAAAAAAGACATTCTTTTTCAAACGGATTAAAAAAGGAAGTAGGATAAATAAATTGAAATGAAGGGAGTCATAACTAAAATGTCCTTTTCTAGTAGATTAATATGAAGTGAAAATATCAATTTTAACATGTTATCAAGTGGTACATCTTAGATTCAACTCTCTATCCACACAAAAATTTCCACGTACTTGGTTGTTGACCGTGTGCTTACCATTATGCCAAAATCTATAGCTTTTGGCATGATGATAATCGCTTGATCCTAACAAGTAGTATCAGAGCCAAGGTCATGAGTTTGATTTGCAAAAGCTACATTCTGCATGAGGCAGGTGTTGGGAGGGAGATTGTTGGATAATGGTAACAACCTGCCTATGGCAAGGCCCACGAGGGGCTAGGCGGTTCGGGTCGTAGTCATGATCGAACATGGCGCTTGCTCGGTGCACTTCGTTAAGAAATAAAGTTGTGCCTTTTGCTATCAAACTTAGCTTTTGTCAATGATGGTCAGTGTCTATCCTAACATTGGCACAAGACAGAGAATCATTACTGGCGCATTGAGTAGCTTGTAATGGCCTAATATAAATAAAAAACAAGAGTGTAGCTACAGGTCTGCTTACACTACAGGTTCAGTGGAACTCATGTAAGAATCTACTTAATATATATAAATAATTTATTCACAATACTCTAAGTTGCTTCTTCTAGAATCATGAACTTATAAACTCGAAATCCTTACTCTGCCCCATAAAATGTTGCTCCAAACATTATAAATTCTTCGATAAGATGATAACTTCAAAAAATTACCTCACGAAGAACTCTGCGACGTTCTTTCTCTTCACGAACTTGCCGTTCAAATTCTTCTCTGGCCGCAGCATCGTTCTCAAGGCGTCTCTGGAACTCGAGTCGGGCTATATGACCCGTTTGAGGCGGACCCAATAAACCATCTGGATCCTGTAATTACAAATAAAAAAATTCACCACTTTTATAATGCACTTGTAAAATTATAATTGAAAGGAGCTTCAGAAGTGAAGAGAAATTACCCATTCTAGTCTACCAGCACAGCGAATTGTGTTTACAAAAGTCTTGGGTTTTACAAATTTGGGCCTGTAGAATTGAGCTCCAATGGCGGAACTAGTAAAGCTGCTGCTGAATGCTGCGGCCATTGTTGGCCGTTTTTGAGAGCTTTTGAATGACTGGTTATTGAGTTCAGTTAGTTTCGCGGTGCTTTATCCGTTAGAAATGCGCACACCCTTATCTACAATTTTCCTTCCTATACTCCAACCATTTTATTTTGTGTGTCATAGTCTATTTCATAAAAAACTTTAATCTCAAAAATTTTTATTTTCTTAAATCTCATGATTAAATAAAATAAACAAATTTAATAAAAATCTTATATAGTTTAAATTAGTATTGAATTTAATTATTTATGTATGATAAACTTTTTTTTGTCATTATAAAATAAATATATATGTAACTAATTATGTCTAAAAATTTAGAAGTATATATATTTTTTAACATGTAAAATGATAAATATAAAATATGTTTTTTTTAGCGCATTAGAATAAATAATATTGTTATACGAATTAAATTAAGAAAATGTATATTTGGGTAAACGCATATCATCTTTGGACTCTAGCCAGCAAGGAAAAACAATCATTTGATCATAATCGTGTAGAGCAGTTTGGTTTAATTTCTAATTAAATAATCTTTTATTTCTCAATTTGTGGTTAGTTTTTTTAATTCAATTCAGGATCGTGTAGCGCACAGTTTTATTTAATATTTATATTGAACAAATAAAATTAGATGGAAATGCAGAATTTCTGGAGGAAAAAAAAAGTACGTAGAACGCCTTTTCTGTGCAAATTGAAAAATCAAAGAGAGAAAAATGTTCTCATCCAAATTCTCGTGGCTAATCACGGTGGCGATCTCGGCGGCGCTACTGTCGGCAACCATCACGGATGCCCAAACGACGTCGTGTGCTTCTAAACTAGTCCCCTGTGCACCTTTCCTCAACTCAACGTCGAAACCATTGGCTTCTTGTTGTGACCCACTAAGAGAAGCCGTGACCAAAGATCTTCAATGTATCTGCAAACTTTTCGAAAATCCGACTTTATTGCCTTCTCTCGGTATTAATGTTACTCAAGTTATTGCACTTCTCAAAAACTGTAACATTCCTGGCAATGTTAACACTTGTAAAGGTACGATTTAACCCCGGATATTGATTTATTCTGAAATTGAGAGTTGAATTGGACGCAATTTTTTGGATCTGGAATTAATTACTCTGTTTTACTTTGATCGAAGCATAATCTATACTCCAAATCTGATATTTTTCAATTTTGATTACTTCTTGCAGCTGGTGATCCAAGTTCTCCTTCTCCTTCTAAAGGAACGGCACCAGGTAAATGCGATTGAACTGCTTATATTGTTTCAATTTTGTTACCACAGAGAAGGTCTGTCCGCGTACATTCTCTTCTCCTCATATCACATTTTGTGAAAAATTATTGAATATATAATGATATTGAATCACTAAGTTCCTGGAGGTCAGCAATGATTCATCTTGCCAAATGTTGTTGTCTTCTTCGTCGCATCAAACTTATCAAGTATAAGTTACATTGTTATGTGATTTTTAAGTCATTGCATATGAATGAGTTTATTCCATGCATATTTGAAGGAGAGTGACCAGGCTTATTCATCCATGCATATTCTGAAGGATAGTGACTAGGCTTGTTCATCCTATTATATGATAGTGTAATATATTACAAATATAAATTATAGTTGAAAATAAAATATTAAAAATGATTAAATAAATTTTTAGGTTAAGGTGTGGATATCTCGCTCTTAGAGATTTATGTTTACTACATCATAATCTATACCAATCTAGTTATAACGCTCTTGACTTGTTTTCTCTAGAATATAACAGCCTAACAACATCGTATAACTCAAATTTTTTTGAATTAATTAAAAAGTTCAAAGCTTCACAATAAAAATACCTTCCTTTAACATTCTTTTTTTTCTCTTTTTAATATATAATAAATATAGTTGAAGACTTAGAATATTTTGCGGTTATATTTATTTATAATATAGAGATTGAACCAATAGTATTTTTAATTCATAAAATTATTTATAGTTGATAGTGGAACAAATCTGAAAATTTTACTTCTTTTTTTCTTCTAAACAACTCCAAAAAGCCAAAGGAGAATAAAGTGATTAAGGGAGTATGATCAATTAATGAGTGGAGTTTTGTCAATGGATGGCATAGCTGTCATTCTTAGTAATAAAAAAAAATATTTGATTAAGATTCTTTTGTCTCTGTCCATGTGCAATTTATCTTTATTCTTGACACATAATCATCAGAATTAAGTTTATAATTAATTTATATAAGGATTTAGAGTTAAAAAGTAGAATAAGAATCACAAATACATTTCTATTCTATACGTTATATAATTTTATTTGAACATGATGTCTTCGAGTTGGATGATACATGATATTGTGGCATATCATTATTCATGTGAAATAAAAAGCAAACTGAGTAAACAATAATTGGAATTTAGCCAGCAAGAAAATCAATCATTTGATCATGATCGTGTCAAGCAGTTATATTTAATTTGTAATTAAATCATTTTTTATTTCTCAAATCATGATTATTACTTTTATATTCCATTCATGATCGTGTAGCGCTTTTTTTTAGGCCACGTTCTTTTCTTCTTATAATAATGTTGGGCTACAGTAGCTATTAACCTTTTCCTTACTAGTGAAGTTATAGAATTTTTGAATTTTGTAGAGTAAAATTAGATATTAAAACTTAGTAAAATATATAAGTCGTACCTCATAATAATTATATTTTAAATTTTATTTAATTAATAAAATTTTAACCAACTATGCAAGATATAAAAAATAGGGAAAAGGGTCTGATATACCTCTTAACTTTGTCATTTAGAGCTGATATATTCCTTGTTAATAAAGTGGCTCATATATACCCCTACGTGTAAACAAATGGCTCACATATACCCTTTTTCTCTAACGGAAATGAAAAAAAATAATTTTAATCTAAATTTTTATTATTTTTTTTTCTAAAAAATATAATCTCATATGAGTAAATTTAATCCTCGTCAAACATATTTTTTTGACTTTTTTTTATTTCAATGACTAATTTATAATTATTATTTTGATAATCAAATTTATTTATGTTTCACTAATATTATTGTAAAACTTATTGTAGATGACCAAAATTTTTCTTCGAATACGAAATTAAATTACTATACACACAAAAAAAATAGTTTAATTTTTTATTCTTTAAACTAAGGAATGAAAGAAAACAACAAAATAAGAATAAGAAATTCAAATAATTATAATAAAAGAAGTCAAAAAATAATTTATGTATGAAAAAAATTAAAATATACCTTGAACTTTGATAGAAGAATCATATATATCCCTAAATAATTTTTTAAAAAAATTAGAAGTAATAAATATAAATTTAAAACTAATTTTTTAACTTCCGTGTTAAATGAATGGTATATGTGAGCCATTTTGTAACGGCAGAATATATGTGAGCTGTTTGTATAACGATAAGGATATATGAACCACTTTTATAACGAAGGTTATATCAGCTCCAAACTCTTTTCCCTAAAAAGTATTTTACTTTAATAATTTATTCTAATTTTTTTGAATTAAATAAAAAAAGTAACTATAATTTTTAATACCTACATCAATTAAACGAAACAGACGATAGACCGTGCATGTGCATTTCTATGAATGTAAGCATTTAATTCACACAAGAAAACTCCTCACTAATTAAAGGAAAAAAAGTAGTGAACACTTTTTCCGTGCATAGTTAAAAATTATACAGAGAAAAATGCTCTCCTCCAAGCTCTCCTGGTTGATCACGGCCGCGATCACGGCGGCGCTACTGTCGCCAACCACCATAGAGGCACAAACGCCGTCGTGTGCTTCTCAACTTGTCCCCTGTGCAGCTTTCCTCAACTCAACCAAACCACCGGCTTCTTGCTGTGACCCACTAAGAGAAGCCGTGACCAAAGATCTTCAATGTCTCTGCAAACTTTACGAAAATCCCGCTTTGTTGATTTCTCTCGGTATTAACGTTACTCAAGCTATTGAACTTCCTAAGTACTGTAACATCCCTGGCGATGTTTCCGCTTGTAAAGGTAGGATTTATTTATTTTTTAGTTCAAACCCCAGGTGACTTGAATTGGGGCTGAATTGGAGTTGATACCGCTGTTTTACTTGGAATGAAGCAAAATTTCTACTTCAAATCTGAAATTTTCCATTTTTGGTTTTCTGTTCATCTTATTTACTTTGTTGGGTATTTAGAAAAAAAAACAAATCTGGGAATGGTAGGGAATTTTGTTTGATAAATAATTGGGGCTTTAAATATTTCTTCTGTAATTTGTTACTGTCGTTATTGATTTAGCATTAGTTATGCTGTTTATTTATTTATTTGTTGTTTTTTCTCTGCAGCGGCTGCTCCTAGTTCAAGTTCTCCTTCTGGGAAAACGCCACCAGGTAACTGAGATTAAATTGCTTTTTGTTTCAACTTTGTTAACACTGAGTTAAAAGTAGTCAATTGATGAACAATTTCGGAGTATGCATCAATTTGATTTAATCTTTTTTGTTAATTATTGATCCTTGCTCCTTTAAGTTTTACTGCATCGTGATCCATAGGTGTTTCTAGTTCCATTTATTTTTGCTTGGCCTTATTGAACTTTGCACATATGGTAGTGTTTGTATTGCTAATTGTACTTATTAATTATTCTTTGAAAAAAAAGTTTGACTACTGGTGCTTTATATAGTCACTTAAAAGATAATTTTGTAAGAAAAGAATGTTCAGTAGTTATTTTCACAGATATTTTGATTGAATGGTTTGAAAAGAAAAAATAATAGCATTTCCACACGAAAGCTTTCTACTATTTCAGTCAGAATCTGTTTCCAACCATTCGTTTTACCAGTAAGCTGGTTCGGTGGGAAATGGTGGAAAAATTATGTTTTAAAACGCAAATTTCCCAATGATTCGTTGTGGAAAACATCTGCTTCTAGTAGTGGACGAAGCCAAGGTTTCAACTTTATAGGTTTAGAGCTATGATTTCAACTTTATAAATCGAGTTTATTCCTGCTTTGAAGAATGCGTATTCGGGCTTCAAGCTTGTGGAACTATACTGGGTATATTGTTGTTGATGTAATGATGTTGTATCCAGATTTCTAGTTCCACACCTGCTTTTATGGCGTTATGGGATAGCCTTTGTTAAATTTAAATGATAGCACAAAAATCCAAAGGTTGACTTGATATCGCTGTCCTTGTTCAATGATTCAGAAATTTGATAACATAGCTATATTACTTGACGTTTTCAAACTACTAAATAAGTTTTCACCAAGTAACTTGTCATATACGATCTTTGAAATGAGACGAGACATAATATTTTGTTGCTTTTTCAAAACAAGAACGTGAGTAGATTGTGATATACTATAAATTTGTGGTCCAACAAGAATAGTTATGTTGGACTTATGGATGCACTCGACATGTTTTGTTCATTCTGTGTTATGATAAAATTTCCTTAGATGTCAAATTAATTTGGTGTCAGACAGATAAACCTTTTTAGTGATGTCTCTCTTTGTTTGCACCTTCGACGATTATTGGGAAAACACAAAATAAAAATATTGAATTACATCGGGTGAGAAATCAAATTCATGCAAATAAGTTTTTTGTTTCCTTCTCTTTCAAATTTCCTGTCCTTCCTGTTTTAATCAAGTTTCTCTATGGTTGCAAACTACTTTACATTTTCCCCCCTACACGATCATTAATTGTTTCTAGTGAAAACTTAAGTTGAAGTGTTCACCCTGATTCTTATTTCTTAATGGTGTTCAATCAATTTTATGGTGTTCAATCAATCTTAGATCTTCAGCCAAAAAAATTGACCTACTTCGTAAAGCTTAATTTGAGGAATCAAGCTGTTTCTTAATAGAAAAGTTGAAAAAGTCGTTCATGGTGGAAATGAAAATGTTCCGACTTCATGTAATTATTAAGAGAGACATTCTTCTCAATGTTAAGAATCTTGTTCTTTCTTAACCAATTAGCCATTGGAAATATGCAGAGCAATTTCTCTTGGATGTTGCTTTTTGTCTTTCTACATAGCTATGTAATAAGTTTTTAAAGTCTACTTTTATGGCCTTACCCTGATCGTTTTGTCTTTCTATAGTAAGTTCACTTTTCTTCTGTTTTCCACCTCTTGAGTCATGCCGATTGAAGGTTTTTCCAACGCTGGCAAAGAAAAGAAGAACAGAGATAGAAGGTGGCAATATTTATTACAACTTCCGCCGAGTAATATTTTACCTCGTTTAATGTTATGTGCCCCAGGTGCTTTGAGATTTTGTGGCAGTTCGGAGTGGAATGTGGCATATTTGTTATGCTACTCGACTAACGATCATAACTTTAGTAATTATGTGTGGGAGTATCTTGTTTAGGCATTTTAGTCATTAACCTGGACATGTGGGATTAGCCAAATGGAGAACGGAAACATCTGTCTAAATCATATGATTCGTGTTTAACTTGCATTGCATTCTTGCTAACTGTATTTTTCTCTTGATGAAACTTTACAGTCACCACCCCAGCTTCAAAAGATAAAAACGGAGTGAGCACGGTTGCATGGACTGGAATGTCAAGCTTACTCATGCTCTTTGCTTCGTTCGTGCTTGCTTAGTTCACAGAGTGTGTCCTTCAAGTACTGGGTAAATGTTGGTGAATTTCTTTGTTTCAGTATTTATTTAGGGAATTGAAAGATTGTACTCCAGACTTGATCGCTTTTATTATGTGAAGTTTCCAATTGAGATGAACTAAATGAAGCTAAATTGATGTATGAATCGTATTGCATAAGTTGTGTTTGCATGTTCTTGGTGTATTCATGGGATATTGTTTCCCCCTCCCTAATAGCTCCCTTCTTTTTTCTATCGTGAACTGTGCTTAGACGCTTCGTAAAACCGCAGCGATCTACGAGAGGAGCTGATAGATGAGTAGACTTCCCCTTTTGATTCACGGAATGTGATCTGGGACACGATGGGAGTTTGCGTGTCTCGGTAGGAAAGATATCACCGGAGTATATAGCACAAGATCGTCTTTTCTTGCTGCCATGGGGTCGAGATGTGAACAAGGTAAATCCAATGGGAACCAAAAAACGAGGGGTACTGCATTGGGCAGAAGACGATCCTTGGTGACTCGAACTCACAACTTTCAAGTTGAAAGTGCAGGGTGTTTGTTTTATAACACTAACTCCCTTTAAATTGATTTCTTAAATTTATTATTTAAAAATAATTTTAAAGCAATTCTCTAAGAAGTCTTTCAAAAATTCTTTACGGGTTATATTTGATATTTTTTTTTAGATCACTATAATATTTAAAGTGAAAGGCTAAAATTTAAAATTTAAAATGCTCATAAAAGTATTTTAATTTTTTAAATTTTATATCTAAATTATTAAATATACAAGTTGCTTACATATTAATTACTAATTATTTATTAATACATACTCTCTACATACATGACAATGGTATTTTAAAATAGAAAAAAGAAATAATTTGTTAATAGTTCAAATAAAAGCGCACACACATTTGATAATTTGTTTACCATTTTTCTATGAAATTTTTAAAATGGAATACTTAAGCAATATATTTGATCGTAATTATAATCGACTTATAAATGAAAATATAATAAAGCAAATAAAACGGAACAAAGAGTTTATCCAGTAATAGAAGCTACTAGAAGAACCTAGTCAGCTCCAGTCCCCTTCCATTTTCCTCGCCTCACTACCAAAAGCTAGGGTTTACAGTTTCTACAATTTCAAAATTTTTTGAATCTGTAGTAATCGTATTTGAAGGTAATCGGAAAAAGCTATGGACCCGATGAAGTTGAATCAACTGAAGCAATTCGTTGAACAGTGCAAATCCAATCCTTCCATTCTCTCCGATCCTTCTCTTTCATTTTTCCGTGACTACATTGAGAAGTAAGTACGCTGTTTAATTCCATTTGAGAACAGTATTTTTTGTTTTTTTCCATGATCTTATGCTATTATGAACATATGAATGGATGATGGATCGCTACTTTGCTTTCAGTTACTGTAGTTTTGGATGAGTGAACTTAATGTCGATTCATTTGTTTGATTTTTTTGTTTTTGCAGTCTCGGTGCTAAACTTCCTCCGGCTGCTTACGACACCGGCGATTACAAAGAGGTATTTTCCTTGCTTCATTATCTTCTTACTTAGAATTAGTGTGATGTAATGGTCAATGACGTGGGTTGAAAATAATGAGGGTCTGAGGTTCAAATCCCAGCACAATTAAAAAATACTAGTTGATTTCTTCCCCATTAGTTACCTTGTACTTGTTGGTGATTTCTTCCCCCATTAGTTACCTTGTACTTGTTGCGGGTGGGAGGTGGCTTGTAGCTCGTGGAATTAGTCTGAGGTGAGGGCAAGTTGGTTTGGACACCACGGTTGAAAATAAGTAAATAAAAGATTATTGTTTCTGATGAGTAAAGTTACTGTACAATCACCAATAGGGAATCTTAATATAATTAACCGGAAGTTTATTATTGTTAAAACTAATAAAAGAAACGCTCAAATCACTATATATATATATATATATATATATATATATATATATATATATATATACCAGGGATGTCTCTTATTTATGTCTAACGACTACTCATGTGATTTGGAATAGAGTTAGGGTATTAAAATTCTTCTAGGTCAAAGATTAAAGAGCTTCATTTAATATCATCTATGAATATACACTAGGTTGCACAAAAAAGTTGTTCTTGGATCAATCCAAAGCCCAACCTCCTCGGGTTCGAGGCCTAGGTATGGAAAAATCCTTGGCAGGAGCACTAACCCTGAATGGGAACCTACTCAGCACGAATACGGATTAGTCGGACTCCAATGTGTGTACCGGACACTAGATGGGAAACAGCTCCCCCTCCAACCCCCAACACCCACCCCCAAAAAAAGGATCGATGACTCTTAAAATCGTGTGTTTGGATATTTGGATACTACTGAACATGTCCAATTATTTTTCCGAACAATTTAGTCCTATCATATGAAAGCAAGTTGTTTAAAAAATTCTGCGGTCTCAAGGAATTAAGAATTAGTATATTATAGAAGCAAGAGATTCAAAATGGTTGGGAAGTAATGCTCAGTTGTTAGACTTATTTAGCTCCACATAGGCAAGTGTGAGGTTTATTAAACTTCTGATATGCCTTGGAAGGCAAATTACTGACTGTTACTGCAGTAAAATGGGGTTGAATAGACTGAATATCTTTAGATGCAGAACACAACTAGCATGGGGTTGAGATGCAGATGATTCATCAACTGATCTGATTATGGGTTTCCTTAAATTACCTGCATGTTTCAACTTTATATGGTTTCTTTAGTTACTGTATTAGTATACTCCGTGGTTTCTCATTAAATATGAGGTAATCGGAAAGTTATACACCCCTCCCTGGATTTTTATTGTCTATTGATCTAACGTTTTCTATGCAGAAGTCCCATGCGGTGGATGCGAGTGATGATGAGATGGATGATGATGAGAATGATGCTAATATCAAAGAGACAGTTGAAGAAGAGGAGGAGCCTGAGATAATTGAATCTGATATTGAGCTTGATGAGAGTGACACTGTGGAACCTGACAATGATGAGCCACAGAAGGTTTGCCATCCGACTTATTTGACATTTTTTCTGTTTTGGATTTTGAAGGTTCATGTTTATTTTTAACATTTCAAATCTGTTTTTTCTAGATGGGAGACCCTTCTGTGGAGGTGACTGAAGAAAGCCGTGATGCTTCTCAGGAGTCCAAAGCTGAGGCCATGGAAGCAATTTCTGAAGGTGACGTTGTTCAATGCCTATATATTGGCATGCCTGTCTTCATGTTTGCAAAATCAGTGGCATGATCCCTCTCACTTTTGTTGTTGGTGTTCATCAGGTAAGTTAGAAGATGCAATTGAGCATCTTACGAAGGCAGTTCTCCTCAATCCTAAATCAGCAATTATGTATGCTACTAGAGGTACGTTTACCAAATGCTTTCAAAGTGGATTTATTGATGTTGTTTTTTTTGTAATTAGAGTATTCATTTGCATTCAATGAATCACTGTTTTTTCTTTTTGTCTTACACAGCTAGTGTTTATATCAAGATGAAGAAGCCAAACGCTGCCATACGAGATGCAACTGCAGCATTGGAGGTTGTTCTTGCTCTCAGATTTGCTTACCTGATGTTGTCTCTATTCTGTATACATTTCTAATTATACAATTAGTTTTTGATAAGTTCCCTCAATAATTGCAGTGGATGACTTCATCAAGTAAAATATTAAGAGAATGTCGTTGACTGAGTAATATTTCTTCTGGGCTTTATATGGAAGATACCCTGAATAATTTATCAGACATATCTTCTTTACGTGCTCTTCCATTCTTGAGGCAGACATGGAGTCATGTAGGCATTAGATTTGCATGCTTCCTAGTTAATCCATTTTGGGCATGTGGTTGAATATATTATAGTCTTCCCAAATTGTTCTTCATTTTCCTATTTTGAATGTCTAAATGTGGGTAGCTATAGAAATCATTCTTGTTTTGACCCCTGGTTAAATGCTTCTGGCAAACAGTGTATAAATACTAGGAACAATTGAAAAAGTAGATAGCAAGATTTTAGGAAAAAGATGTTTTCTTTTGTCCTGCATCACAATGGAAAAAGAAAAATTGGACCAATTTTGTGTTCAATATATCATGGACTCTGGGCTGTTCTTGCAGTTGAATCCAGATTCTGCTAAAGGTTACAAATCTCGTGGCATTGCCAGAGCCATGCTGGGACAGTGGGAGGCAGCTGCTAAGGATCTTCATGTGGCTTCGAAGCTGGACTATGATGAGGAAATAAGTGCTGTGCTTAAGAAGGTTGCTTCCTGTGATATATCTCATAACATCTACGTGATTAAGTTGTAGTGCTTGGTGGCCTTTTCTTTGTATAAAAAATTTATGGTGGTACTATCAGCCCCCTGAATATCTTGTTGAAGGGGCAATTTTCACTTTTTGCAAGTGATTATGCGTTGTCTGTCACAGGTTGAGCCCAATGCACATAGAATTGAAGAACACCGCAGGAAATATGATAGGTTGCGCAAAGAACGAGAAGATAGAAAGATTGAGCGTGAGAGACAACGAAGAAAGGCTGAAGCTCAGGTAACCCTTAGTTACTTATTTGGTTTTATGCTCGTGTGTGATCTTTTCTGCATGTTAATATTTGGTTATGCCTTACATCTCAGGCTGCTTATGAAAAGGCCAAGAAGCAAGAAGAATCATCAAGTAGGAGAGCTGGTGGCATGCCCGGAGGCTTTCCTGGTGGCATGCCCGGAGGCTTTCCTGGTGGCATGCCCGGATTTCCTGGTGGCATGCCCGGAGGTTTTCCTGGTGGCATGCCTGGAGGCTTTCCAGGTGGCATGCCCGGAGGCTTTCCAGGGGGTATGCCTGGGTCTGCACCTGGAGGAATGCCCGGAGGCATGCCTGGGGCTGCACCTGGAGGAATGCCCGGTAACATGGACTACAGCAAAATACTGAATGTAAGTAAATCTACTTTTGTATGTTTACTTTGAAACAAATTATGGTCTTAATATAAATGTTTGAACAAAGGTATTATCTTAGGTGAAGACTAATTTCAAATAAAAAAGAAAAATCTTGTATAGTTTTTTGTAGAATATGATTCTTTTAAGTCATTTTTTGTCCATTGCAAGGAGATTAAAATTTCCTTTTTGTTTGGCTGGAGCAGGACCCTGAATTAATGGCGGCATTCAAGGATCCAGATGTCATGGCTGCACTGCAAGATGGTACTTTCCTTTTTGTCCTCACCTCTTAGCCTGTCTATTTTGCTTTGATA